GTACACGTTGGCCGGCACGCCCAGGGCTTGGAAGACCTTCTTCATGCCCGCCGCGGTGGTGCTCGCAAGACGATCCTTCAGCGGCTCCGAGGCCACTTTTTTGGTCAGCGCTTCGATGGCCACCAACATGAAGGGGTAGGGCTTGCCCCCGAAAGCCTTCATGTCTGCCAGGTCCACCTGCAGCGGGTTCATGGGCTCCAGAGGCACGAAGCTGTTGTAGCCTCTCTGCGGTCGGTCCTGGTTCACCCGGAGGCCGTCCAGAAACGCCTTCACTTCCTCTCTGGAGATGCTGGGGTCGCGCACCTGAGCCTGCCGCAGCGTCTGCGCTATGCTGCCGAAGCCTGTGCGGGGATCCTCGTAGACGGCCTTGTCTGCGAGCGTCAGCCATGTTTCTTATGGGTTCTTCGGCCCCCGCTGGGCCTGCCAGGCTTCCACCTCGTCCAGCCGGCCCTGGAAGCCCTTGCACACCCCCCAGAGCACGCTGGTGAGGTGCGAGTAGTCGAGGGTGACCATCTCCGTGCCGTCGCTCCACCTTGCGGTGCGCGTCAGGTTCTTCCACTTTGTTCCTGCGAAGTCGTTTGAGGCGAAGCCCAGCCTCAGGTCCTCGTTCATGTCCGGGCGTTTGTACTGCTTGGCCTCCACGGAGTCAAACAGCTGCTGGAGCTCTGCCACGTCGGCCTCCGCCATCTCCGTCTTCACCCTGCTGTCCGACAAATTCGTGAAGCTCGTGTTGCAGACCACGTTGCCCGTGTTGCCCGCGATCACGAGGCAGCCGGGGTTCCTCTGGTTCGTGGTCAGGGACAGCTGCGTGGAGAGGCTCTTCGTCTGCACCAACGCCTCGTCGTTGATCATGATGAGCTCGCACTGGTGCGCCCCGCCGTCCCGCTCCAGGAAGACCCTGGCGCTCTGGTTGCCCAGCAGCCGCAGCTCCGGGCCGCTGTCGGGGGCCGCGCTGTTGTTGGACACTTGCAGCTTGCTCCAGCCCGCCCAGTTCTTCGTCCGGAAGAGATCGTCCGAGAAGTCGGAGGTGTTGGTCACGGTGAGCGTGTTGGACGCGAAGAGCTGCGGAGCGGAGACCGTGCCCGAGCTCGTCACGTCCCCGCAGACCACGCTGCCCGTCGACACTCCGCCGCTCGTGGCCGTGAAGGTGCAGTCCAGGCTCTCGCAGTCCAGCGGGCCCGCGGACGCCGCCCCGGTGATCGTCAGCGTGGCGCCCGTGACCGCCCCGGTGGCTGCGACGCTCGCCGCGGTTGCTGCGCCTGAGGCCGTCAGCGTGCCCGTGGACACGTCTCCGACCGTGGTGAAGTTCCCGGCGTTGGCGGTGTTGTTGATGGTGAGAGTGCTGCCCGTGATTCCGGGGGCCGAGCTCAGCAGCCCCACACTGGCCGCCCCTGTGATGCTCAGCGAGCTGCCCGACACGGCGCCTGTGGACGACAGCGTGGCTCCGGCGACGGTGCCGGTTGCTGTGAGCGCTGCGCAGGAAATGGCGCCTGAGGCGTCCACGCCCGTCGTGAACACGTCCGTGCAGTTCACGTCGTTGCGCAGCAGCTGGTCAGCCCACGTTGCCCTGCGCGGTGAGCCCGTCCAGCGTGGCCGAGCCCGTGAGGGCCAGCGAGTCCGCCAGCAGGTCCGTCACGGAGACCGACTCTCCCTCGAAGGCTGAGGCCCTGATCTGCATGCTGTACAGGTCCAGCGTGCCCGCCGACTGCTGCACCAGCCCGGGGATAGACCCGCCGAAGGCTCCGAAGTGCAGCTTCGCGATTCCGCCCGGCGGCACCGAGAAGTCCAGGCGCGCCGTGCTCCAGACTCCCTGCGAGGGCGGGCCGAGGAAGGTGCCGGTGACGCCCACGTAGTCGTTGTCGGCCGCGCTGACGTACATCACCAAGTTGGAGGCCGTGCCCAGCCGGTACCGGCAGCCGAAGGAGTAGCGTCTCCCCGGCGTCAAGGTGTAGGTGCGCACGATGTTCCAGGCGAAGGCGCTCAGGGTCATGGCGTAGCCCTCCAGCTGGAAGCCTCCCACCGTGAAGCTGGCCGAGGCCACGGAGCTCTGGCTGATGGAGCGCACCAGGAAGTTGCCTAGCGTGGTGAGCGTGGGCTCCAGCAGCACCTCGCCCAGGGTGGCCAGCGTGACGTCGTCGGCCCCTCCGTCGAGGAACTCGTGCTTCAGCAGCAGCGCCGAGGCCGCCGTGTCCTCCTCCGCCTCCGCCGCGTGGCCGGTCTCCAGGGTTGCGTCCAGGATCTGGAGGCCGTAAACGTCCACCGTTCCAGCAGTCTGGTTGGGCAGGCCCGGCGCCTGGAAGTGCGCCCCCGAAGGTGCAGCTTTGCAAACTCCGTTCGAGAGCACTGTGAAGTAACATCTTGCAGTGCTCCGGCACCTGGTCGCCCACGAAGCTGCCGTTACAATTGTCTAGACAGTTGTTCTGCCTCGGACATTAACACCCGAATTAGAGTGCCGTCCGAGCCGGTAGCGGGCAGGCGAAAAATAACAAAAATAAATAATAAAAAAAATAAGATAATAATATAAAGACTCTCGGCCCGGGGTCAAGTTGTAGGTGCGCACGATGTTCCACGGGTTCGCCGCCAGGGTCAGGGAGTAGCCGTCCACGCTCACTCCCGCGGTGTGCGTGGCCAGGACCACGCTGCAGCCGCTGCTGGGGCGAACCGTCCAGTTTGACAGCGAGACGTCCGTGGGCCCAGGATCTGCTCTCCTATGGCGGCCACCACCTCGTCGGCCCCTCCGTCGTCCGGAAAGCGCACTGCTATCTGCAGCGCCGAGGCTGCCTCCGTGACTCCGAGCTTGCCGGCGAGGAGGCCGTCTACTTGTGCGATGGTGTAGTAGCTGAGCAGCGCGGCTGCGACGCTCGAGGCCGTTGCCGTGTCCTGGTCTGCGGCTGAGCGGTACGCCACCAGCGCCGAGGTGATTTGGTTGGTGGTGAACACGTCCTGGTCCGGGCCCGTCCGGTAGGCCAGCAGCGCGCCCGCGATGGCGGCCTGCGTCTGCGTGTCCTGCGTGCTTGCCGTGCGGTAGTCTCCCAACAGCGCATCTACCTGCGCCGAGGTGTAGTAGGCCAGCAGCGCTGCTGTGATGGCGCTGGTCGTCTCCGCGTCCTGCGCTGCCCCTGTGCGGTAGTCTCCCAACAGCGCGTCTACCTGCGCCGAGGTGTAGTAGGCCAGCAGGGCTGCTGTCATGGCGGCGTCAGTGCCCGCCGTGGAGTAGCAGTCTGCCGTGATGCTCAGCGTGTCGTCGCCGTTGGCAAGCGCAGCAGAGAGAGGAGCCATGAAATGCAGGTTGCGAACGACGTTACTTCCGCGAACGAGCTCCCAAGTCGTGAAGCCCGCCCGCGAGGATTGCGTCGAGGGCGCTCTGGAGCGTGGTCTCGCTGGCCGAGAGCGCGGCGTTCGTGGCGTATGAGGCCAGCAGCGTCGCGTCGGCCTTGGCCCCCTGGAGCGCCGTGATGCTGGCGTCCCGGCTAGCAAGCTGCGCTGCGACGAAGGCCTCGGTGGCGAGACCCAGCAGGGCATTTGCTATCTTGGTGTCAACCTCCAGCGGCGTGTCCAACCCGTCCACCGTGGAGAGCAGGGAGGCCAGCGCGCTTGCGTCCGCCTTGCCGAGGAGGGCGGCGTCCAGGGCTGCCGTGGTGACGGCGTCCAAGAGGGCCGTCGCTATCTTAGAGTCCACCTCCGAGGAAGTGTCCACGGCCGACTGCAGGGCGTAAGCAGTCAGGGCGCTGGCGTCAGCCTTGGAGGCCTGCAGCCCCGAGATGGAGGCGTCTCGGCTTGCGAGCTCGGAGGCCAGCGCCGCGGCGGTGACGGCCCCCAGGAGAGCGTTGGCCACCTTGGTGTCAACCTCCAGCGGCGTGATCCTCGCCGCTATGTCTAGGGAGTGCTGGTCCACCACCGTCTTGAGGCCGTAGTTGGCCGCCACCGTGGCCAGCGTGGCGTTGTTGGCCGAGGCGATGGATCCGTTCATGGCCGCCGTGGTGCTGTAGTTGGACAGCTTCAGGTCCACGCCGTCCGGGGTGCTCTTCGTGGCCACCACGCCCTCCAGCACGTCGAAGGCCGACTGGTCTGCCTTGTTGGAGAGACCCGTGGTCAGCGAGCTCTGCAGCGCGGCGATGCTGCTTCCGTGCGCGGCCACCTGGCCGTCCGTGGTGCCAGGGCCGCCGCCGTTGCTAGGGGCGCAATTGCCGGCGCCAGCGCGCTGCTGTCCAGCTTTGAGGCCAGCTCGGCGGTGACTCGGTCGTCCAGGGACTGGATGGCAGCGGCGTTGTTGCCGGAGGCTGCCGTGTTCACCGCCAGGTCAGTTACTTGAGCATAGGGCGTGAGAGCGAGGGCCAGCTGTCCTGCTGTGACGTGCGTGCCGTCAGTCACCTCAAGGACCTCTGGGATGTTGCCCGCGACAGGTCCTTCAAACATGTTTTCTTAGGAGTAGGTCTATAACGCAGGGGTGTTGTACTTTCGCAGCGCTCCCTCGCTTGAGTTGTATCAACTCGCAACAGCCCCTACCAGTACGCGAAGTGGCGCAGTGACCTATAAAATCGGACACTGGGCATGATGCAACGAATTGACCGAAAATCTCGGTCAAAGAAACGTTTGGGACACCTTGGCCACCTGACGAGACCTGGGGCGGACCCGGGACTGGCAGGAATGCGATTGAAGGAAAATATCCCTCAATTTGCTAACATTTTGAGCTGTCAAACGCCTTGTCCAATCACGCGGTTCAACTCGCAAACCGTCGCTGTACAACGGTAAACACATGCAACCCAGTTACAACGTGTAAACCTACTCACGGTACATGCAGGGTTTAGCACCCCGCCTTGAAATGCCTTGAAATCCACATGGAAAGGGATTTCATCCTTTTCTCCACGCATCAGCTGAGATTTCAACAGTCCTGATGCGACCGAGCGAATGAGATAGCCTGCCATTGGCATAAAAGCTTCTCAAACAAAAGCTCAAGTGAAACCTAGGCTCCAAGCCCTTTGCAGTAAACCGGGACTCCGTTATCGCACGCCTCCATCCTTTGTTTTCCGCTTTGCTGCAGTTGCACCCTGTCTTGTGCTGCTTTTGCCACCAAACTCAGCTCTATCCAAGTAATGGCAAGTGTGGCACTTCTTGTAGTGCCTTGCAACCGCAGTGTTCTCCTCAATCTCGATGAGAATGCTCTTCACGAGCCATTTGCAATTCCGTCTGTGATAATGCTTTCCAAACTCCGTGATGAACACAATGTTCTCTTCTTTGACTTTCGCAGTTCCAAACCACGCTGAAATCTTGCCGTAGCCACATTTCATCAAGTAAAAACATCCATAAGAAATGCAAACTGCCATCCATGCAATGCTGCAAAAGAAAATCGCATCCATGATCCAATCATGCTGATTGTTCAAACCATTGGGCTCATTATCACTGCTCAAGGCGTCGTGCTCGATCCTCTCGCTACCGCCAGGCTGCAGTAAAATACTGATCATCCCAGCTGCGAAAACTCTCTTTGCTGTCTGTGTGATCGACGTGCTGCTCGCGCCTTCAAACGCCTCATGGCCACTCAAGTCAGATCTAATCCTCCTGATGGCCAACCTCGTGTTCTCCTTCATCATGAGCGCCTCGTACTCACCAAAACCTACAGGCACCCATTCATCTGTCTCACCTTCAAACTCGCCCGACACAATGCCGACCAAGAAACTCAAGATTTTCACCCGATCTCGGCTCAAAGCCTTCGTGTTCAAGTCCGCCACATTCGTTGCCGTGGGAACTGTTCCGACCTGGAAAAAGCCCTGCGCCACTCGCTGCTGCATCCACAACACCTGGCCACTCAGATGGCGAATACGACCTGCACCAATCCTTCCAAGCACTCCCCTTGCTGCCGACGAATCAGTAAGCAAATAAACCCCAAGAGGTTTCTCATAGGTGCAAAACTTGATAATGTTCGAAAGGTAGATCGTATCACAACCAGCACTGACCGTGGAATAATATTCCGCCTCGCCACTGCTCAGCGATATTGTGCGTTGAGATCGCGAAGAACTGTACACACAATTCTTGTTGAGCAGAAACACAGCAGATGACGTCGACTTCCTGGTTTCTTTGTCTCCACTCCAGTCACTGTCCGTGCATGTCTCCAAGACCATCGCAGAAGGACAGCGCTTCATCACTAGCCCATCATACAAGATCGGCTGTTCAAAACACATTGCATTGTACCTCACACCAACCAAGTAGAAACAGAGATGTTTCAAAAGTTTCCACCCCTCAGCACCTGGATGAGCCATGCACTGTGCCAACGTCTTGATGCAATACTGGCAATCAACCAAGTCCGTGCTCGTGTAAAGCAACAGTCCAACCGCCGCCCTGTACTTGCTTGCCGCAGGTTCCTCCAAAGGATTGTCCGCCAGCTTGGCTTGAGCACCTCCACTAGGCATTGGTGCTGCCCTCGGGTTCACCCTGTCCGGATTGATATTCATCAGCTCGAACAGCTTTGTGAAATTCTTCTGGTGGGGCTGAATGATAAACCGCAGTGAGCGATGGTAAATCAGCTTCCTCTTCAAGAACCACAATTCCTGTCCGGGCTTGGTGATGAGCTCATACGTCACCTTGTATCTGCTTTCCACTGCGGGCACCAGTCTCTCCATGATAAATTCCTCAGTGCCAATTCCAAGCATATCATCCACATGCAAAAGACCATTGAATCCTTCAGCTGCTCGCAAAACTGAAGGGCAAACTGTGCATCCTTCCACTCCAACTTTCTCCTTCAAGAAACTTGTAAATGCTCCATGCCACTCACGCGCACCGTCACGCTGGCCTGGCAACAGCTTGTCCAGCTGAAATGTCCATTCCTCCCCATCAATCCATGCATTCACACAAGTGGGGATTTGCTGATCCACCGTCAAGTATGCATCGCTAATATCCAACGCAATCATTACCCAGTCCAAACCTTCTGCTTTCTTGTGCTGAAACAGGGCCGGCAACAATCGAATGACCAAACTTGACGTCGCCGGTGCAAATAGCTGCTGCCGATGCGGATCATCCCAGTGGAATTCTCGAGCAACGAACCTAGCCCGACGCATAAACTTCGGAACTTGGTCTCGCTGCTTCGGCCTCCAAGTTGTCACAAACTTCGTACTGAGTGTTCTCAATCCCAACTCCTGCGCCTCCTGTTTGCTTATGGGCTTCAAAACACCCATGGTCATGAGCCTGTCCACCTCCATGCGCTTAGCGAGATCATCGATCGCCTGCAAATCACTTTCCGCCAACTGTGGCTCCTCGCCCCCGGGACCAACCGGGTAATAAAGAAGCTCCGAATCTCCTTCCGAACTCTGGAATCCTTGCTCTGCCTCCACATCGCCAGTGAGCTGGTGGTCATGTTCTATCATTGTCTCAGCTTGCTGCTCATCATAGGGCAATTCCAGCACCTCGTCCTCATGATGCAGCTCTTCATCTCCCACAACACACAAAACTCCTGGCCTTGAAGCAGAAGAATCCCCGCCTTCTCCAGGCGTAGGCTCGCCCGCATACATCGGTGGGGCATTCAACCTCCTCTCCTTTCTTGGCGACACCTTCGCTGCCTTGGAGTCACGCTCTTCCTCCGCCGGGTCCCGCACACGAGCGCTCTCAGGTGGAACCACCCTGACCTTGGGCTCTATCTTAGCCGCTTTCACCTTTGGTTGCACCACATCTGTTGCTTTGAACGCACTCTTTCTCGGATTCGCTGCTTGCTCGGTCTGATCCTCGGACTCACCCTTTTTCGCATGCGTTGCAGTGTGCTCGTCCGGGACCACCGTTTCCGGGTCTGATGCAGCTTCATCTCCTTCTCCAGTTGCTCTGTCACCTGGAAAGCCGATGACCAACGCCTCCAAAGGGGCTTCATCCAGTAAAACCTCCATAAATTGCTCTTCTTCACCATCAACACCCTGTTCGGGTTCGGCAGCACGCCTTGGCCTTCCAAATCCCAGATGCCCTCCAAGGTAACCAGGGTAATCCCAGGGCATGCCTCTGAGTGTCGCTGCCAGCCCTGCACCCCACTTTTGCTCTGCTGTGAGACGCCTGATGGACCGCGTCAAAACCAGTCCTCCACCATGGAATCCTGCTCCGGCCGTTGACACCAGATGCATGTCGCTTGTGGCGACCTTGCCCAGCCATATGCTCTTTACCCAGGAAGGGTTTCCTTTGTTCTGCACTTTCATGTAAGCCCAAACGCACTCACCGAACACTGCAACTTTGCCTCGGTAAATCGAGCCTGATGACACTCGCTCCAATGGCGTCATACCTTGAACCACATGAAAACGATTGTGGGTCCATGCGCTGTGCAACCATGCCCATGCATGAAGCGGGTCAAAAGTGCCAACTTTGCATTTGCAACCTTCCTCCATCTGTGCAAGAAAAATGTTGCACTGGTACCTCAACGCTTGCACTGACCGCTCCACTGCACCGTTCGCCTGATGGTCGCCTCGAGGGCTGTTCCGCAAAACAGTCTTTGTGCCATATTTCAGCCTGTGCTGTTGCACTCGCTCCTGCAAATTGACACAAGAAGGCTCTCCATCTGTCATGAAAATGAGCTCTGGATATCCGAGATAAGCCATAAATCGGCACACCTCCACAACCAACTGTGTCATCCACTTTCCGCCTTTCTGGGCCGTTGGGATTGCATGCGCACATTTGCTGTCGCGGTCGTGCAAAACCAAACAACAAAGTTTGGACGCTTTGTCGTCCCGAGACCCCGCCTTCTCTGGATCCCGTGACGTGTAACAAAAATCTGCACTGACCAAAGGCAACGCTCTGCTTGAATCGTCAACCTTCTCATGTCTGTCCTGCCTAGACTTGAATGCAGCACAATGATGGCACCACGCCTGAAAAGGGTAATGCGTGAGTTCATGCTCAGCCACCTGCTCCGGTGTAGGGGAAGCCACACCTGGTGGAGAGCTCGCCTTTCGCTTCTCTCCCTGCAAGATCTCATTGTGCACCTTCTGTTCTGCTCTCATGTCTTGCGCCTTCAAGTGCTGACCCAGACGCTTCAAAATAATTGCTTTGCCTCCAGACTTTCCAATACCACATTTCGCGCATGCTTCCCTCAAGACCGACAAAGTGTCCTTCATTGTCAACATGGTCGGCGTGCGCAGCTGCAGCTCGGGGTGAAGCGAGGCCATCAGCGGGAAGAGCTCTGGCAGCTGCTTGTGGGTGCAGGCCCTGAGGTCGTCGATCATGCTGGCCAGGCTTGTGGGGAAGACGTTCATGCTGTCCACGAACCTCAGCGGGCCCCAGCTCATCTGCAGGCACTTCTCGCCCGACTTGCAGAGGACTCGGAGGCAGAGGTGGCTGTAGTCGCCCTGCTTGATTGCGGCCTGCAGGGCGCACCAGCCGCTGAGGGGCCTTGGCGCGGCCTTGGCCTTGGCCTTTGCCCTGCCCTTGGGCGCGGCCTTTGGTGCAGCCTTGGCCATCTTGCCTTCAAACTCCACTTCATGCTCATCAACTGGAACCAACGCTTCCGCTGGCACATCTCTCCGAGCCTCGTCCACTGCAGATTCCTCAGCCGGATTGACCTGTTCCGCAGGCCTGTCACTAGGTGCAGCTTCTGCCTGAACATTCACCGCACTGCTTTCTGATGCAGATCCACCCGGAAATGATGCCAACGACTCAACAGCTTCGCAGTGTCCTGATATCCTCGATGAGCAAGAGTGATCATCTCGGTGGGTTCCTGCAGCTCTTCGATCTTACCTGAAACATTCTCAAGCTCACTCAAACGATCTGCAAACTCGATCACCCACCATCTCCCATTCTGCTTGATGAGAGTAGACCTTCTGTCCACTTCAGCTCGCGGCAAGCTCGCTGCCACGTCTGTGAAGTTCATGCCGAACAATTTCACTGCCCAGCATGTCTCGCTAATCTGCTTCCAACCTGTTCCAATCTCTGCAAGCTCAGGCCTCAACGTGGCCGCCACCTGATCGCTCTCGTTTGTGCTCTGACTAACGGCACAAATGGATCCTGAGATGCACAAGGAGTTTCGCTTGTAGAATGCGGGCAATTCCACCTCCTGGTTCCACAGCTTAAGCTCTCCCTCCTTAGTGCCGACCTGCCAGCCAGCTCGCAAAAGCTTGCACACAGAAACCAAGGGATGAGATACCTTCGCAACTATGAACTCCTCCCGCAGAACAAACGTTCCCTTGTTCGACTGCACATGAATGTCTGCAATCCGTCTCTGGCTGATTCTGAGGTCATTTCCCTGTGCGTCCTTGAACTTCCCAGGCCTTGCAGGTGCTCGCGAACCTACACAACTCATTTCTTCAGGAAGCACACTCACGTCTGCACCACTGTCCAGAATCACGTCTATTGGGTCTGCAGTTGAATCACCATGCACTGCACGAACAATTCCATTCTCATCTGAAAACCCATGAAAACTGCACATAGATGTACCACACATTTCTGTACCATTTGACATGTATGCAGCACACTCTGAGACCGACACATCTGCAAATCCTGATTGGATACCTTCTGCACATTCCCACTGCGAATCTCCATCCGAATAAGTCATATCGAAACATTGCACTGCAGAATCCGGAATACCTGCAAATGAAATCATGCGCACATCATAAAATGCAGCGTCTTCCTGCTCGTCGTCCATCTCATAAATTGTCAAATCAAAAACATCTGTACCATCATCCATAGAGTACACCCTTCTCACCGACTGCTGAGCTGTTTTGTACGTGCCTGAGGTCGACCCGCTTCCCGCACTGACAGTAGAAGCAGCCGATGAAGTGCCATGGTCCATGTTGGCCTGATGCAACTCCTCAGCACGTTTCACGCTCGCCTGCTCCTGATCTTTCTTGTAGCGAAAACAATCCCGCTTCCAGTGTCCGGTTTTGCCGCAGTACAAGCAAGCATCGCCAGCAACCATGTCATAGGAACCTTTTCCGGTCTTGCCTTTCGAGTCCTTGCCTTTGCTGTTGTTGTACTTGCCTTTGCCCTTGGATTTTCCACCTTTCTCAAACTTTCCTTTCGAGAACTTGCCTTTCTGGTCACCTTTGTGCTTGCCTTTTCCCTGCTTGCTCCAGTCACCTTTGATTCTGTCAACTTCCATGTTGCTACTGGTGTCCTCGCTGTGTGGTTGGTCCTTGATGTGGAACATGCTATTGATGGGATTTGTCCATTTCGTTTGCGAAGTCTCCCAACGTTGTACCAAACTGCAAAGCTGTGCGTAGCTTGAGCCCTCGGTGACCACAATGTTTGTGTAGGCTTTCAAAGGGCCACTCAAGCATCTAAGCAAAACTGCCATGCGATGGTTATCACTCAACTTGCTCGCCGTGACACGCTCGTACTCCTGTTCAGCCTCCTGCAACCTCGCCAACTGATTGCTAAGTCCTTGTTTCATGGAAAAAGCAGGCCAATTGTTGATTGCTTGCAACAAAGCCAATGCACGTGTGCGGGCCAGGGGCTGCAAGTCTTCGCTTATCAGTCTGTAAGCCTCAAAGCCGTTCAAATCTTGAACAGTCTTCAGTATCTGAATGCCTCGTTCATGTAGAATGCCAGCAAGCAATGAGTAAAGCAAATTGCTTCTAGAGGCCGTTTCTTCGTTCATATCAGCCATCAAAACTGGTCCTTCTTGCCGACGCAGCGATTCCAAATCTGCATGAAAACCAGGGTCAAGGGCACTCAACCAACGCTCAAATGTCCAACTCCAGTTCTTCCACTTCGCTAATTCTTCCTCTCTCGAGGCTGCAACAAACGGTTCCGGATTTCTCAAAATGCGTACTAGATCTTTTCCCGAGATGTTCTGACCGCTCACATTCCGTGCTGCCTGCGCCGTCAAATTGTCTGCCTGCAACTGCACCAAACTCTGAATTGCCGCCTGATTTGCCCGCGCTGTCTCTATAGCAAGCTCGGCCATTGCACGAATCTGTGCCATAGGATCTCCAACAGTCGGGCTTGATGACGTTCCTCCGCCATCCGCCATGTCGTAAGCCTTCCGAAGACTCACTCGCCAAATCGCCCGTCTAACGAGCAATCACTCTCACCAGCACAGTTGTAAAAGCAAACAATCAAATGGCGCCGCTACACGGACGCTCAGTGTCTTACCGAGCTCCGCTACCATGCTAACATTTTGAGCTGTCAAACGCCTTGTCCAATCAAGCGGTTCATCTCGCAAACCGTCGCTGTACAACGGTAAACACATGCAACCCAGTTACAACGTGTAAACCTACTCACG